CCCCCCCCCCACACACACACACACTGGAGTGCAGCTTCCATACACCGCCCCGATGCCTTGTGAGTCAAGCTTTGGCTAGCCAAAGGCTCCGGTTGTTTTCTCCAAGCAAATTCACTTGCTTTGCCAACCTGGTCAACCCGGCAGCATCATGCCAACAAGCCAATCGTGGAACCTTTTCTTTTGTACTCTGATTTGCATGGCTTATCGTTTGTACTCAGACATGTGTGAAATACATATACATATCACATACACGTAAAGGGTTTCACCCTAGTCTCTAGATTCATCAAATCTAGCTCCCGTTGTAGTGCTACTTCCACGAATGTCTCAATTAACTTGATCCTTCACAAGCAATTTGTTGCATGTGATACATGTCCCACAAGGGTCACATTTAACGTATACCAGTAGCTGTATACTATACTGATCGAATGACTATCAGCTTCCGAAACTCAAATCGGACTGCCATCTGATTATGGTCAAAAGGTTTAATTCGCTTTCATCGGCGTGCTTTGGGCCCTAGGGTCAGCGGTCAGAGGTCCGAGCCCCGCCGCCAACACCCAACTTTGGTGGTGAGAAGTCTCTCTAACAATAACACCCATTCCAGAGAGAGTTACCGTGAATAGACAGCAGATCCTAGCTTCTAATTCTGTCGTTCGTCAATCACATAGATATGTCCAGTCTAAAAAGTAGCACCACTTCCAAGAATAATATTCTCCCGTATAAAACGGTTGTCCAAGAATTATAGTTATGAACTATCATCTTTTGTGTTACTCGCAGTACATGTTGTCCTCTACTCATATTTTCGTCCAGGAAATTAGTTTTTCTCTCCACCATGTTCCTTGAAATTGTGGAAACTTCATCCTAGGAGCTCATGAAACTGATTTAAGAGTTGATTTGAATATCGTCCGCTGAGAGAAATCAATATACATGCCTCTCCTCAATATAGCGTTTCAGATGTGTTTTGAAGAACAGCACAAAAAAAGAAGTGCATATTTATGGGACAAAGAACGCGACCAAGCTGAATACCAGACTGGAAGTCATCCGACCTTCACTGTTAATAGTGACAATGTTACGCTCGTACCCCATCCGCAATACCTGGCCTGTCCCACTGTTGCTTTAAGCAAAAAGAAACTCGAGGTATCCAGGTGCAGATAACCGATTTCCTACCCGGGGGAACGGTCTTACTGGGTACCGTTATTCATGCTCGTTTTACTGCTAAGAAATAGCACGTCATCAACTTTCGTCTAAGTCAGCTGTTTCCCAAAATTATCTTACTAATGAAAGTCAAACAAAACTGGATTTTAGACGTGAAATTGCTATGAAAGCCGAGTTTGAGAAAATGGCTAGGCGTTAATGCGCTCGCATGTAACAAGAAAAGACCATAAATATTTGTGGAAAACATAGTGGCTTATGCCGACCTGGCCGACCACTGACCATCCTCATCACCCTGTTGCCTTATAGGTAATCATCGGTTGTGCAAGGCGCATCCTAGTATTGGGAGGGCCACTCTGTTAATGAATCTGCTTGGATTCATTCATGAGTTAAACTAATCTGCACGCAAACGGACGTCGACCAAAGCCAACTTAATCAAAGAATCATTCATACAGATTGTTTATTCTGACTGTGACCTGAAATCCACTAGTTCCCAATCTGAGAAATTAATTGTTGTCCACATATAAGACATTTAGTGAAAACTCGAAAAGCTCAGAAATTACAGAGGAAATCAAACGAAGTTGGAGGCTATATCAATACCCGCCTCATCCCCTACTGTGGAACGAAATCAATGGACCATAGAATTTTACACAACAA